AGTGGAAAAAAGTGATATTTCTCAAACAGTTTTTTACTCCCTAAATGGCCCCCATACAATTTCCCACAAAGTTTTGGCTCTCACACGGGTTTTTTATGGCTCCCGTACACATTTTGGACCATCCACTTCTACGATTCCGCATTCAAACGACCGCTACTTATCATTCCACCAGGCTTTTCACGAGCCTATAGCATAAATTTTTGTATTTTTATGTCGAGATCCGGGCTATTGCGGGACGACTTTCTTTCTTACAGGTCACTGCATAATATCTGTAGGCACCTTTTGGGAGAAAGGGCGGAATGCAAGACGGAGGAGAAAGGAAAAACTGCAAATTCATGACAAAATAGCCCACCTGGCATGAAATACCGTTGCAGTGTTTTGCATGGTAGCAACACAGGGCGATGAGCTGCTTGCAGACCGGGCAGTTTGCATTCTGTCGTTTCTTGCATACCTTGGTATGCTGCACAACACGTTTCATCTTATGACATGTTGAGCGGCGACAGTTCGCATCGCGACACTGACAGGCATGCACCAGCGATTGGATGCAGCGCTGCAAACGCAAATTTACGTACAAAGATATATTACAAATGACAGAATGCGAAAATCGAATTTTCATCATATCCGAGCTCACCCAACTATTTCAAGAAAACTAGGCCAGTAAGGGGAAAAAAGGAGGGAATTCGCGAAAACTACAAAGTGAACAGAAAATAGCTGACTGGCAAAATCATAACAGAAACAGAGCGAAGGATCAAATGAGAATGGAAAGAGACCATTCAATTTTAACCGAACCTACGAGGCTGAGTAAATGAGTACGCAATTTAACGATTTGGAAGATTTTATTTGGGAGATCTAAATGGCGATTCCGATGTTTTCATTAATTATCAAAATTCGATTGTGTTCCCCTCCACGACAGCGGATTAGCAATGTCAAACAAACTGCACATATTAACACACGGACGATTTCAGGCCCCCCTCCTCTTTCAGTCTCCTGACCAGGGATATTCACTGTTTGTATCTTTAAAATTTTTACAACACTTAATGAATAAGAAAAGCTACTTACTTGAATGCTCTCGGATCTTGAGTTGCTTGCATCATGTTTATCTTCCACTTCCACCAGCGCATTAACTTTTTCGAGTTTGTGCGGATGCGACATCGTTTCGTAACACTTATTGCAAAGATCAAAGTCCTACAAAAGAATGAACAGGAAACTACTGCAAACACCAAGAACGAATAAGAGGCCCAAAACCCGAAACCGGCTTAAGATGTTGAAACCAAAAACCGCTCGCTCGTAAGACCATCAATGTCTCTTTCTACAAAGGTTGCCTCTTTAACAAATCAAGTTACTGACTGCTTAACTTTACGCTTTCGTCAATTTTCTACTGAAACGAAGCAACATATCATAGATTTGGTTTCCTCATTGGCCGAAGCGAATAATGGCTTTAGCCTCCCTACAGCTGGTACCATATAAAAGCACAAGCTCCTAGTTGGAACAATTAAACCAACAGAATCTTTTCACCTATTAATCTGTTTAATGGACCGAAACGTCTTATCTCACTGTTATTTTCTTCTCTCATCGTGTAATTTATCGGGTCTTCACCACTTAGGATTCCAAGGTCAACCCGGTTGCTACAGTAGGCTTAATAACTTTGAAGAAGGAAAATCCGGGGAGGGGAAAAGATATAAAAACTCACTTCACACGTTGTGCAATGCCAGATAGCTTGATGCTGGCAACTGTTGCATGTGTACGAAAGTCCTTCACTTTTCTCCTGGTTGTGTAAGGCATGACAAAAGCATATTGTGGAATATTTCGCACGTCGCAATGACGAAAATTCCCAATGCTCATCGCGGGCACGCGTCAAAAATGTGTCACGTCCATCCATCAAATCACTCGGTATCAGTGGATCTGGATCCTGAAAATGCAAATTTTGTGCTGGATCAACACTGAGTTTTTGATTTCTTTCCGGAAAAATCGATTTTCAATCGAACCTTTTTTCATTTTTTTGCCTCTTTCTAGAAGGTTCCTGCTAAATTTCCTCATTCTTATCCCAACAGAAGACTAAGCTCTGCACACTGGTAACTCTTGAATGAGACTCATGATTCGTCCGATCCATCAATATTTTCAGAATGAACATCTTCAGAAGATTTATGCGATAATTCATTTTCAGTTCGCCCAATACCGTGCCGATACTTTTAACTATTATCAAATCTCCCGGCAAGAGCTTGTATGCTTCTGGAAGGCGCCCAAATGTTTCTCAGATGTTGTGCAAAATCAGGGTTTTCTTTCTAGATCATAGCGACATTTTCAGTAAACCAAAAATAATTTCCGCTTTTGCGAAAATGACAACACATTCTGTTACGCAAAGCCGTTCGACTGTCGTCTACTGTGGCCTTCGAAAAGGCGGCATATATAATGGGACGGACAGTCCTTAGGTAATACTGAAGCTATCATAATGTTTTCCCTTCTGTTTCTGTCGTCTCACTACGCACTGCGATTGCCATACTGACGAGGTCCTGTCGCGATGTTGCGTTAAGACGTACATGACTTAATGGACCGGAACGTCTCTTATCTCACTCTTATCTCCCCTCATTTTGCTATCTATTGCACCTTCGCCATTTAGGCTTCCAGGGTCAATTTGGTTGCTACAATCAGCTTGGTATTATTGTTGAATTTGTCAACGTTTTATTGTTCACTTATGCGTTGAAGAGTCTTTTCTGTGCCAGTAGGCCAGTAGTTCTCTTTCATTCACACGTATGACAGATGGATGTTCTGTAAGACAAATAACTAATATCAAAATCGAACTGTTACCAGTAGAAATAACAAATCTTTGAGAAAGATAACATTGCAAAATGAACCTTGATTTCGTTGTTCTGTGCAGATAGTTCCGACTGAGGTGACATTAGTCGTATGGTGAAAAACACTTCTTTATGCTTTTCAAAATTAACGTACAATTTGTCGGTTACTTCATTGCCGGTTTGCGAACAAACCTTTTTCTTGTTCTTGGAGCTCCCTTTTTTCAAGTTATTCTTTTTCTTGCTGAAATCAAACTTGACTCTGTTACCAATCATAGATCTCTGGTGCAATAAAAATTAATAACTCAAACCTATAAATTTTTTCACTTTTCAAAAACTCACAGATCTCCGAAGGGTACAAAGAAAAAAAAAAAAACTCACTAAACAGAATCAACTAAATGCTTAACGAGTCTCATTCATCTCATCAAATTAATGAGCCTTATTCATCCTCTCATCTACGCAGCCGAATATGCTTCGCCTTAGAAAATATCCGTATTCACAGGCCCGAGGCAACTTCAGAAATAAATTTTTGTACATATTCACGATACCACATTCCTAAGCGTAATTTAATCAACCTCAGTGAGGCCCTTTTTGGCAAAACTGACCTATTTTTCTTGGTCTTTCCACTGTCGCCATCATGTACCACATCGTCGCCGTCTTCATCTTCGGCATTTAGCTGTTCCTGTCGTGCCGCTTCTTCAAGTCGTTTACGTTCGAGCTCCTCGTTCTGGACTTCTCGAATGCAATCTTCAATTACATTCGGCCAGAAATCGCCTTCAAAATATGGCAATGCCATTGGTGTTACCAAATTGTCGTCTCGAGCCTAAAATGAATGATATGGTGGCATCTGAAACCCAGTAAAAAACTCCAAATAAAAAATACAGTTAAGATCTAAAAAAGTAAAATTTCTACAAACAGTTGTGCGGAAACAATTCAAAAATATATCATTTCTGGCTTCATCACACGCCACATCTATTCCAAACATCTTCAACAATTTTATCCAATCTTACAATCAGAGCCTGCCCGGAAAGATAACCGTTTCGGGAAGATGTCACACGGATTATATCTGAATGTCCCTGTTTCCTAAAGGATTAGTGGAGGATATCTCACTAGGACGTCTAGCTGCTGGTTGCTTTCCGCTTTACAAATTAACTCCAAAGTTGTCCGCTAAAAA